CCACAAGTCTTAAAGTTGCCAAGGTTGGACACCCCTGGTCTAGACCACAGCGCCAAACAGTCCTTGTTGCACATAAACAGAGGCTTGTATTTTTTGTACTGGATCAATCGGGGGAGGGGGACACCACCCCTTGGAGGACCCCCCCCCCACGCCCTCAAGGGTTTGCCAGCAGGCTTAGGGGAGAACTTCAGGAGCTCCGTGGAGACCCCTGCGAATTCCTAACCAGCTGCTGTCACTCCACATCAGCTACTCCTCATTTCAGTACATTGTAGTTTTAATAAATTAAAAGTAGACAAAACTCTTTGGGTTGGACATCAATATTATTTCAATTAGATCTATTTTTAAAAGAATCAAAGGATTATTAGATGATGGGGGTTACAGCAGTTAAAATGAAACTTGTAGGCTTTCTATCTTTCCCCAGACTGATGTTTCGGGGTGCGGGGGTTGTCATCTAGGGGAAACTACAGAATCTCCACAGCTCCAGGCCAAACTCTGAGCAACAGGTTGAAAAGGAAACGTGAGAAAAGCGGAGCATCAACTTAAAATGTTTCAGACCGGCCTCTTCAGACATCCAGTCTTCCCCTCCCTCAAAACCGGCACCAGCGCTTTCAAGAACTTTCACCTACATTGCTGCCCTTTCATACCGACTTCACCTCTGTTGCCAATGTGCACCTCTGAAAGAGGAAGACACGTTTTTACAGAATCAGTGAGGCCCATACTTTGACAATCCCCAGAGGATGCAGCAATGCCCCTATTTAACTCCAGCTAGCTGTGGCCACAAGTCAGCTGGAGAAAGCAGAAGGTCTTGAATGGCACATCTGCAGCAGAGGCTGCAAGGATGAAAACGAGGCATGCATGCAAGAGCCAGCAAGCGGGAACCCACAGCCAGGAAACCTGTCTGGGAGCCATTTCCCTCAGCGAACTGCTTTGGGCCAGATTAGCAGTAGTTAATCCCTTTGGCGCTCTCTCTCTTATGTGTGTGTGTGTGTGTGTGTATGTATGCGTGCATGTGTGTGTGTGTGTGTGTGTGTGTGTGTGTGTGTGTATATATATACAGTATATATATACACATATACACATACACACACACATACAGTATATGGTATTCAGCTTTGTTCGGGTATTTTCCCACGTCATTAAAGTTGTGCTTTTAAAGTTATGTGTTTTTAAAGTTATATACACACACACACACACAAATACACATTGTGGGCAGAAGATGAGCTAGCTGAGGCAGTACCTTCTGCAGTGATTTCGGATGCCCCTGGGTTTGTGAACTCTAATATTGGACAGGGTCCTCTGTGGCATGAGCTGGGCCAGATCCATACCCCACCTGCCTTCTCCAGGAAGCCTGGATTTGGGAGGTGATCAACGTCTTTGATCGAGAGTGGGGGGTGGGTGACGCCTGGGTCCTGGAAAAAGGCAGCAGCATGCCTCTGCATCCCGCAGTCCATCCGCATCACGCAACTTCCAACCTTCCAATTTCGGGGGGGGAGGGGGTTGGATAAAATGGTTGAGCTGCAGCTTCAGGAAGTTCTGAAGGAAACGGGTTTGGATCTCTCCTAGCCAGGCTTTGGCCCAGACATGGAAGGCAGTGCTGGATGTCCTGACAGGACCCGGAAGGAACGTGGCTCACTCTGCAGTGGTCCAATATCATTAACAATGATATTCCTCTGGACTGCCGACAAGGGTTGAGATTCAGGGACACTGCGCTAAATGGAGGATTACAATCAATATCATTTGAGCTCCTAGCTACTCCAGTATAAAGTACTACACGGCTCAGCACTGCCTTCCATGTTATTTAACAGGCAGATGAAACTGTTGAAAAAGGTCAGCTGCTGGTGGGGTGGAGTATCTCAAGAAGGAAATGTCATCCTTTTACGTGATTTCACTCTGGGCCAAGCAGAGATGCCACGGAAGCACTAATGCAGGCTGAAAGGATACGAATGGGACAAAACCTGCTGAAAATGCACTCCAGCAAGATGCGTTGTCCAGGAACAACTGTTCGTGCCATTCCTAACTACTCTAGATTGGGCTGCATTCCCAATGAAGGAGCAGGTCTGGAACCTGAGTGTCTTCCTGACTCATAGCTGCTACTGGAAGAGCTAATGGACAGTGTGGCTAAGTCAGCTGGCATGCAACTGCCCCCTTCTGAGAGTAGGCAGCCTTCAGAACTGGCACTAGTCACTCACACCATTGTTACCTCAACTTTCAATGACTTTAAAAGTACTGGGGATATTTGGTGTAAAATGCAGCAATATGTACACCAGTGAGTTGATATAGCTCTGATATCACCACTATTAAGAGGCTGGTTATCGGTTTATTTCCAGATATAATTCAAGGTGCTTGTTATTACCTTAAAAAAGGAAGTCTTAAAAAGATTTATTTATTCAGGTTTCTGCCTTCCACAATCAAAAGACTGGATGGGCTGAAATCTTAACAACAAAATTATATGGTTTTAGATTCAGTCTCCTGGTTAATCTGCGGACAAGAGGATATTGTGGGTTCATCAACAGATCAAGGGGAGAATTTCCAAGAATTGCCCCATTCCGGTAAAATTGGCTAGCCTTGCATTCCAGAGAAATAAAAGGCCTAGCTCTTTAAGAGGCCATTTTGGAAAAAAAATTACATTCTGCCCCTAATCCACACTTGAAGGTGTTTTTTTTTAACCATTTCTAGATTTTTAGATAATTATTGTAATATTTATAAATTTTACTGGGCCCTTAGCTGCCTGGGTGAGGGATATAGAGATGTTGAAAAATGAATGCATTTATAAGAATGGATTTAATTCACAAACTTCAGATTATTAGCAGAATACTAGGTGATAGCATTCTAAAAACCCAAACTTGGTACCACCATTTCCACCCAGATCTGGTTTGTTTTATGAGAGAAGGCATGTTAACATTCCACAGGACCTCTAAACACTGGTAATATAAAGGCTGCCTTGATTTAGTCAGTGTGATCTTCTTATAATATTTTTACAGGTAATCCTTGACTTATAACAGTTCATTTAATGATTGCTCAAAGTTACAATGGCACTGAAAAAAAGAGACTTATGATCATTTTACACACTTATAACAGTTGCAGCATTCCCATGGTCATGTGATCAAAATTCAGCCACTTGTCTCATATTTATGACAGTTGCAGTGTCCCAGGATCATCTTGATCCCCTTTTGCGATCTTCTGACAAGGCAGGCAATGGGGAAGCCAGATTCACTTAACAACCGTGTTACTTACTTAGCAATTGCAGTGATTCACTTAATAACTATGGCAAGAAAGATTGTAAAATAGGGCAAAACTCACTTAACAAATGTCTCACTTAGCAACAGACATTTTGGCCCAATTGTGGCCATAAGTCAAGGACTATCTGTATTGATAGTACCAACTACTTTGAGTCCTTGTTGAAATGAGCATAGATATTTGCACAAATAAAACATAATAAAGATCTGAAATGGAAATTAAAAATAAAACTCCAAAAGTGAACCTCAGGCCTATTTCAATGAATTTAAAAGTGATAAAGTTAAACCTGCAATTTAAAATCTTGGGGAAAAATTGGTAAACTTTTAATGCATGGATTTCATATGCAAAGGTTACCCATTAAGAAAGGTACAATTTAAACCACGTGACACGTTTAGCTAAAGCAAAGAGATGAAAGACCGCCCAAAGCCACAACAGGGAACAATCCTTTGGGACATGGTTTTCCTTTGCTTAGTAGTCAACAAGATAGGATGGGCAGGGGTGCAAATACCAAGCACAAAGATTTGCAAGTTTCTGGTCGATTGTTGAAATAATTCACAACTGAATGAAGCCAGCTTTTTTGGTGACAGGGCAGGGCACAGAAGCAGAGACCTGGCAACATCCATATAACTACTGTACATTTCTCAAATTGTGGACTTAGTCTTAACGGACCCCTTTACTGATTGTTTGCAGGCCAAACTTTCAAAGACTGGAAAGAAAGACTGTTCTTCCTGTACAACTCTGCCTACACACATTGGTTCACCAGGCCTGTTATAGATTCACTATCCAAAGGAATTGCAATATAATACTGTAGATCAGATGTCCCCCAACCCCTGATCCGCAGCCCGGCACCGGTCCGTGGCTCGCCAGAAACTGGGCCGCACAAGTGAGCAAAGCCCCATAGGATCCAGACAGCATCCAAAACCATGCCCACCCCGGTCCATAGAAAAAAACGCTCCCACGGAACCGGTCCCTGGCACCCAAAAAGTTGAGGGCCACTGCTGTAGATGAGGTATTGCCCCTTACAAATATCTGTGTTAACAGCCATGGGTTCAACTGTCCTCTGGCATACGAAATAGAGGATTTAAGTTCATGTAGAGGTCGTTCTTGACTTACAACCATTCATTTAGCGACTGTTTGAAGTTACAAGAACACTGGAAAAAAAGTGACCCAGGACTACTGCAGCCCACCTAACCCCCCATGGGTCAATGATTAAAATTCAGTTTCTTGGCAAGTGACATATATTTATGATATTTGCAGTGTCCTGGAAAGAGGGGGGTTTCATATGATCAGTTTTTGGGACCATCTGACAAGCAAAGTCACTGGGGAAGCCAGATTCACTTAACCAGGTTATCAATTCACTTATCAACTGCAGTGATTCGCTTAACAACAGAGGCAAGAAAGCTCATAAAATGGTCATAAAATTCACTTAACTGTCTTGGGCTCAATTGTGGTCCTAAGTCAAGGACTACTTGTACTACAACCTGTGCAGTATTTATTCAGGCCAGTCTAAAAGGTAAATACTCCCATTAATCAACTTTTATTCCCAGGGACATAGTAAAAACATCACGCAGACATAAACAGAACCATTACTGCTGCAGTAGCTTTTCACAAGCCCTTCATGACTGTGCTCAGTACTGAAGGTAAGTGTTTCGGTCGCCTTTAACATATTCTTCATGCTTTTATATATTCTGCAGTGAGGAACATATACAAACTACTGTTCAGGCAGAATCCTCATTATGTCAGATTCAACATAAATGGCAATATATAAGGAATGGAGAAGGCTTTCCCGGGCAATATTTATTTTATATATATCCCGCTTATGACCTCACCAGATGTAATTTTCAGGATTAGAAATACATGCTCTCTTTAAAAGCAGGAGTACAGATTTACAAACAGAGAAATCAACCATCCTTATTTTGTCCCAATAAAGATAGAAAACATCTGGCTAGCAATAGTTACTGTTCTTGCCAACATTCTGTTTTGTCCAGTTAACATTTTGTTGGATTTTAAAACTACTGCATCATCCTTCTTTTTCAGACTATTCAAAACACAGGAAAACTAGGAAGATGAAAACACTGGTTTTAAATCTATTCTAAATAACAATAACACGGGAGGGGAAGCTCAACTAGCATTATCAAAAGAATCAGAATTTCAATAAGGATTAAGTTGAAGATCTTTTTAAAAAGTAATTCATTTGTTAAGCGGTACAAGCCTCTATAGATCCTAGGAGATTACTATTCTGATTTTCAGGATTAAACTATTTGAAATACATAGCAACAGCCAATAGCACTTAGACTTATATACATATATCACTTCACAGTCCTTTACAGCCCTAAGAGTCTATTTAGTTACTTTATTGTCATTGCACCTCGTACAATGAAATCAAACACCATCTTCAGTGCATATCATGACCATGAAGATAAACACAAGCACACACCCTTCACACTCTCCACACATTGAACCTTGACATGGCACCAACACTGCACTATACAGTAGAATTCAACAGTTACTGCCCTGGGATAGAAGCTGTTTTTCAGCCTATTTGTGCTTGTTTTTATTATTCTGTACCGTCTGGCAGATGGTAATAGTTCAAAAAAAAAAAAGGAGTGTTTAGGATGAGATGGATCTTTGAGGATGTTTTGAACTTATGATTGTTCCCAACATTCTGAGTCCTAATTTTACTGACCTTGAAAGGATATATAAATGAATTCCTAACTTTTAGAATTTCGATAAAAAAGCAATTATGGAAGACTGCATAGGAGCAATATGCCTCACAGGGTCTGTGGCAATGGAAAAAAACTCCTTGAAATGAATTCAGTTATTTCAGCTGTTACGCAGAGGCAATTTTAAAACCACCACCACCTCTTATACAAATACTCAAGTTTCTAACACTTGTGCAGCTTCCAAATTCTCTCGAAGGAGCCCTTGCCTCAATACGACCCCCCACCCCAAGGAACCCATCCCACAAGATGCGGCTTGTGTCCAGCTCAAGGCCAGCAAAAGGGCTTTTTGCAGCCGGTGGAAATCTACTTGGCAGGACAAAGTTGGACTGGGGGGGGGGGGGGGAGAGAAAAAAAGATGCAAAGCAAGCAAACAATTCAGTCACGTTCGTTCCTGCTGCGGGTTTTCTTCCCATGGAGGCGAAAGGAAAGTATGCCTGGCACGAGAGCCCGGAGGGACGGGAAAGGGAAGCCGGCAGAAAACGGCGCCTTCTTCGCCTCCCCACCCGCCCCGGGCCGGTCTCCACACGACGCAGCCCCCGAAAAACTTTCGCCTCACCTGCTTGGTTTCCTTTCGGCGTCTTTGGTCGCTTTGGCTTCCCGCACTCTGCAAGAGAAAAGCAGCAGCAGCAGCCCGTCAGGGGGAGGCCGGGAGCGCCCCGGGGGGAAGCCGGGCCCCGCCGGGAGGGCATCGCGGGGATGCTCGGACAGCTCCGCACCGGGGGTGGGGGGTGGGGGCGCCCCGGGACAAAGGCCGCCTACGGGGGGGGAGGGGAGGAACGGGACCACGGCCTCGCGCTCCCCTTCCCGCCCGGCCGCTCCCGAGCGCCTCCGGCGGGCCTCCTCCTCCTCCTCCCTCGGAGCTCACCGCATGTGCTTGGCGCGGGGGGCGGGCCTCCTAGGCGCGGGGTCCCGGGCCCGGCGCCGCTCCGCTGGGGGCCCTCGGCAGGCTCGCCTGATCGCCGCCGTCGTCCGCGGGCGCCGCCGCCGCCCTCGGCCGCCTCCTCGCGCCCCCGCGCCCAGCCGCCATTTCCAGCCTCCCTCTTGGAGGAGGCCCGCCAGTGCCAGGCCCGCCCCCGGAAGGCCCGCCCCGCTCGGGAAGGACTTCCGGCCGCAGCCCCCCCCAAGATGGCGCCGTCGTACCGCTCGCCGGAGCGGCCTTGGTTTCACCGGAATCCGCAGGGCAGTCACGGCCGCCGCAGGTCCCTCCTCTCTGGGCCCTGCGAGGGAACTCCGGGCCGGAGCCCTGGACTTGTGGCCCTGCGCAGCCGCCGAGTGGCAGCCTCGACTCCGAGAGGGTCCCTGGTTGCCTGGAAGCAGCCCGGAGTCGCCCCTCTAGGATGCAGCCCCCTCCCCAGCCAGCGCGGGGGTCGAGGAAGTCCGTTCTGCCCAGGCCGAGAGCAGCGGCTTCTCTGGGCTGGGAAGACGGAAGCCTCTTGTCGCCCTGTATAATTTGCTCGTCTGAAATTTTAACAGATTTAACAGAGTTGGAAGGGACCTTGTAAGTCATCTAGTCCAACCCCCCCCGCCCCCTTCCCCGCCGAAGCAAGAGAAATCCTTGCTTACAACTTTAATCTTCCTTGTGACGCTTTCCAGGCAGGTCTTTAAGAGAGAAATCTGGGCTGCGCGTGTAAAACAACCGCACAGCCTTGCTGGGATCCCGTGTTTTATCCCCTGCAGCTGCTGGCCGTTCGGCATTTTCTAGGGACCTCTGCGTCAGACTAGATGACCTACAAGTCCCTTCCAACTCTGTTAATCTGTATCACCTGCCTGGATCTGGATGGAACCATCTAACTGGGTTTCTACCTTGGATTCTTAATTCAGGAGACCTCCATAAAATGACAAGAATCCCCCAGCAACCTGATAATACAATCGTTATGAGAATAAATCCCGTGCAAGTAGCACAGACTGGATGCTAATCGCCCATTATCTACACTGCCCACTCGCAAAGAACTGGATCAACTGCAATATTTAATTTATATATCTCTTCATCTCAAATATGTGACTGGGCAATGCAGTTAAATAACAAATCCAAACAATCAACATTAAAATACAATTATTAAAACAACTATAATAGAACACAACCACAGGAGAGTATATTCTGAAATGTGTAAACAACAAACATTCAGTGGGCTCTATACTTCCATGGAAGGAATACTGTGTGGCCAACTCCTTATGAATTCTAGGATGCC